ATGGTGCAGAGGCGTCCTCCCTGTCGGCGTCCCCACTCCACATTCCGGCGTCCTCGGAACAGCCGGCACAGGCCGGGCTCGCGTCAGCTGTCCGGCCGCAACCCCCTGCAGGGGCACTCCTTGGCCTGCTGCTGCCAGCCAGGCTGCCCCAGACGCAGGCGCTCAGGGAAAGGCAGGGGCCAGCCCGAGCTGCCGACCCAGCTGCTCCTCCGAGCAGAAGCCAGGTGAGGAGGCGAGGATGGAGGGAGAAAAACCTCATCCCACAAGGAAAGCTTGGTGACCCCGTCTCCAGGGGCAGAACTCCCCTCCCAGGAATGAGCATTGCACAACGTGGTTCCTCCCGTTGCATCTGGTTCTGAGCGAGTCCGCCGCAGCTGCAGGCCCGGGCACCCCGCCGAGCAGACCCCCCCGGACCTCCGGGGCCCCGTTTCTACTGCAAGCAGCTGGGGGCCAAGTGTGCGCCCGGGCACGTCTCTTGGCCTCTCCCAGGCTCGGCTCCCCCATCTGTAAGAAGGTGGACGATGTCCGCCCTGGACAGGACCGCGGTCGCGAGAGGTGCCCGGGCCAGGCAAGGGCCACGAGCGCGGATCTGCTGGTTTCTCCCTCGATTCCACGCGTGGGCGTGAAGCGTACTGTTGGGAGTCAGGCACAAGTGTGACTTAGTAAGGAAGGGCGAGCGTTGCTGGGATGGGTGGGGAAAATGTTTTCTGCATCACGGGGCCAGCTGGAGAGGGGAGTGGCCACCGCAGGATTCCTGGGTGCAGCTGAGACAGCTGGGGCGGGGCGTGCTGGGCTCACACTGAGTTCAGCTCTCCAAATAGCCCTCGCGCCACTGTCCAGAACAGACGGTAAGAATTTCTCGGGACTTCTGTCTGGAAGTTTGCGGTTGACAAGGCGTTTTTTACCTACATGATCACAGTAGCTTTCCCAGCAAGGCTGTTAGCTAGAGAAGGTGCCTGCCCTGTCCTGGAGCCTGAGAGAGGACGAGTTGCAGGCTTGTCCAAGAGAAAGGCCGGGGGGACCCAGCCACCCACCTCCCTGCCCCCTACTACCCTTCCTTCCAAAAAGCACTCAGGACCAAGCCTAGGACTCGCTACAAAGGTCGGTTCCTAGCTAGACTGGTGGGGACTGACTAGGAATGGAATCCAGGCAAACACCTGGCCCATCATAATCAGGTGCAAACCATTCTGACTCTATTTTTTAATGCCATCCTAATTTATAATACGTTAAACTCTGAGAAAGGCCTAGAGCGAGCCACTTTGCTAAGGCAGGCATTATTCAATTTTTCCTTATTCCTATCATCATATTCTGGGTCCTCCTCTCAGAAAGGGAAAGTCCTGCATGGCAAGTTTTCTGCCGTCTAGTCTCTCCATTCACAATCATTCGCTAAGGGCATTGGCATAGGAAGTAACACGCTGAGTCTCACGCACAACACACAGGAAATGTCCTCTTTAACCGTCAGGAACGTACATTCTAGTACCGGAGGTGGGACTTCTGAATGTGAAAGGCGGGATCCTCTGCTGGGGCAGGGCTTGGTGAGTGCAGAGGCTGCGGTGGGTACTGTCAGGCCTCTGAGCCCAAGCCAAGCCACCACATCCCCCGTGACTTGCACGTAACTGAAGAATCACAAAAGAAGTTAAAATGCCCTGCCCCGCCTTAACTGATGACATTCCACCACAAAAGAAGTGAAAATGGTCAGTCCTTGCCTTAAGTGATGACATTACCTTGTGAAAGTCCTTTTCCTGGCTCATAAACCTCCCCCACTGAGCACCTTGCGACCCCCACTCCTGCCCGCCAGAGAACAACCCCCCTTTGACTGTAATTTTCCTTTACCTACCCAAATCGTATAAAACGGCCCCACCCTTATCTCCCTTCGCTGACTCTCTCTTCGGACTCAGCCCGCCTGCACCCAGGTGAAATAAACAGCGGTGTTGCTCACACAAAGCCTGTTTGGTGGTCTCTTCACACGGACATGCATGACAGGTACAGACAGGAGGTGGTCGCTCAGCTCTCACAGAGCTACATGGTGATGTCCTGCCTACCTGGAATCTGGGACCTGAAAAAGAGCACATGGGCTCATCGTAGCCTGGAGGTGCAGACCGTGAAGATCAAGTTGATTTAATCCAATCCACAGGGGTAAAAATAGCTTAAAAAAAGGATGAACATTCCATTGGTGCTTTTAACTGAGAAAGTGCAGCACAGTTTTGGATATCTTTGCTGGCAGCTGTTCATTATGCAACAGTTCAGCTGGTGGCAGGAAGGGCAGGAAGAAAGATGAGCAGATCCAAAAGATCCAGAGATGGGGAAGGGGCCGGGAGGAGGGGAGGGAAGTGGGTGAGGGTCTTTTCAGAGGTGAAGGGCAGAAGTCCCAGAGGTGGATGGGCTTTCTTTTTTTAAGCTGTTTTTACCCCTGTGGATTGATTGTGGTGAGCCAAAATCACACCACTGCACTCCAGCCTGGGCAACAAGAGCATAGTTCCGTCTCAAAAAAATAATAATTACATATAATGTAATATATTATTATATATCTCATATATATCTATATATATGTCTCATAAAATCTTAACCGTTTTTACATGTACAGGTCAGTAGCATTAAACATATTCACATTGTTCTGCAACAGATCTCCAGAATGTTTTCATCTTACAAGACTCATCTATTATCATCTATTACTTTTTTTCCTTTTTTTTTTTTTTTTTTTTTTTTCCCTGAGACAGTCTTGCTCTGATGCCCAGGCTGGAGTACAGTGGCGCGATCTCAGCTTACTGAAATCTCCTCCTCCCAGGTTCAAACAATTCTCAGCCTCCCCAGATTCTAGGATGACAGGTGCCTACCACCACGCCTGGTTAATTTTTGTATTTTTAGTAGAGATGGGGTTTTACCATGTTCACCAAGCTGGTCTCAAACTCCTGACCTCAGGTGATCTGCCCGCCTCAGTCTCCCAAAGTGCTGGAACTACAGGCATGACCCACCGCGCCCAACCTCATCTATTACTTTTTAATGGAAAAGTAATAAAAGAGTATTTTCAAACACGTGAGCCCCAAAGGTAATAAAAGAACATTTTCAAACATGTGTAAGAGAGTTGTTCTGTTTCTGTTGCTTTCAAAACTCCCAGGGTGAGGGTGTCTTTCCTTACTTCACCTGCTCCCACCCTAAGTCTTGGGTTGGGAGATTCCAGAGTTGGTTTTCAACTGGCTCCCCCTGCCCATCCTGGAGCTTCTCTCCCCTCCTCCCAGCTCCTGCTTCAGCCACAAGTCCCTGCCAGCATGTGTTCAAGACCAGGGGCCAGGCTGCGGGGGTGGAGGTTGAAAGTCCACAAATGTGTTGGGGCGTGTGACAGTGGGGCTCTGGGGCAGCCCAGGAGTTTGGGCTCCTTACATGTGGCTTGATTCAACCCCCCAGTGTTGCAGAGGAAGACGCTGAGGCTCAGAGGCCACACAGCTAGTTAGGGGTTCATCAGGGACTAAGCCGAGGGTCCTGTCACCTCACTCAGAGCCCTTCCTACTAAAACGCACTGAAGACAGAAGGGTCATGCTCCGCAGGGAAAAGCACCCCATCACAGCTGTGCGTGGGATATGCACCCCATATGCTGAACTGCTGTACAGGCCAGTCAGCCACTTAGCATGAGACAGTTGTCAGATCACGTGTTACAGACTGGACTTGCTGCACTCTCTACACAAATATTTATTCTTGATTATGTACTTCATGGATAGATGCTCACTATCGTCTTATTAGAGATGAAATGGGGTGGTGAGGAGATGTTGGTTAAAGGAAACACAATTTCAGTAATAGGAGGAATAAGTCGCTGAGAGCTGTTACAACATGGTGACTGCTTAGTAACAATGTATCGTGTTCCTGAAAATTGCTAAGAGAATAGCGTTTGAGTGTTCTTGTCACAAAAGAGTAAGTATGTGAGGTAATGCATACGTTAATAGCTCGATGCAAGGCTGGGCACGGTGGCTCACGCCTATAGTACCAGGACTTTGGGAGGCTGAGGAGGGGAGATCACCTGAGGTGGGGAGTACGAGCCCAGCCTGAGCAACATGGAGAAACTCTGTCTCTACTAACAATACCAAATCAGCCGGGCATGGTGGCACATGCCTGTAATCCCAGCCACTCGGGAAGCTGAGGCAGGAGAATCGCTTGAACCCGGGAGGCGGAGGTTGTGGTGAGCCAAGATCATGCCATTGCACTCCAGCCTGGGCCACAAGAGCGAAACTCCATCTCAAAAAATAATAATAATAACATCAATTATTACTAACATTATTACTGTTATTAATAGCATCAGTTATCCACAATTGTCCTCAAAGATTTAGAAAAACAAAAACAACAAAAGGGATCAATCAACATTTCCTAGCGCAACAAGTGGCCCATGCTGGGGCCAGGCCACTGATCTCGAGGCTCTGGTTGAGAGTTGCCTGCGTGTGACCGCTGATACGGCAGGACTTGTGCCCCACCACCTCCTGACTCATCATCACAGGAAGGAGGCCCGTGGAGGCAACTCCTCTGGGGCCGCCCTGCAGCTCACACTGGGCAGGGCCTCCCAGAGAGGCCACCTCAAGTCTTTGTGAAGTTGAGGCTCCTGCTTCTTAAAGTAAAACCAGAGGTGCTTCCTGTCCTTTGAAATTCTGAGCCTGGAAGGACTTAACTCATTTTAAAAATGGTAATAACTGAAAATCTAATGAATCTGCAGGCCTCTAAGGACATTGTCCTGGGTGTTCCCTGCCATAGGAGGCACTGTTGCCCCAGATCATAGCCCAGAAGGCAGTGGCCGGACTTCCCGGACAGACGCTTCCTGCCCTGGCTGGGAGTGCCCAGGGCAGCTGGGGAGAGTGGTTCCCGGGGACCTGGAAGGCTGGGAAGTGACCAGGGCCCTCCAGCTGGAGCTCACCCTCCATTCCTCTCCCTCAGAATTTACAGAGTCCAGTCACCCTTCCCCAAATTCCTCAAACTGTTGCTCACCTGTCAGTTGGTCTTAAATCAATGTAAGAGGCAAACTGTCTTCAAAAGGCTCATAGAGAATGTGTATTATGAAAAAACTATGCATGGATTTCAGAATGTTTTTACACCAAAATAAACTCACATGAACTTGTTATAACATGTCTGAATAAGATAGAGTTTGAGGCACTAAGAAGGATAAGACATCAGTTTGACAGGAGCTTCTATCAGAGCAACATCAGTTTTGCTAAAATTGAAACAAGAACAAATACCAAGACCCTCCTTGAATGACAAAGCTCTGTCACAGCTTTCCCTGTCATTACCCACTCTAGCAGCACAGCTGGCCCTCTGTATCTGAGGGTTCCACATCGATGGATTCAACTGACCGTGGATTGGAAATACCCAGAAAAAAAATTACATCTCTACTGAACACATACGGGCTTTTTTTCTTGTCATTATTCCCTAAACAATACAGCATAACTATTTACATAGCGTTTCCATTGTGTTAGGTATAAGTAATCTGGAGATGATTTAAAGTATACAGCAGGTTAGAAGCAAATGCTAAGCCCTTTTATATAAGGGACTTGAGTATCCTTGGATTTTGGCATCCAAAGGAGATCCTGAAACCAATCCCGCAAGAATACCGAGAGCCAGCTGTACTGTCCGAACACCTCTGTGTCCTCCCATCTTCCACATGGTGCCATCATCCTCCTCCTAAAATCTCTTCCACGCATTTTACACTTTCTGTCTTGGCTGCCATTCCCCATCTGTTCACGTATGGTGTCCACTTTTCCACTAGATCGTCAACATGTTTGTCATAGTTGTTTTAAAGTCCTATTGGATAGTTCCAACATCTGGGCCAGGCCTGGGGTTGGTTCTGCTCATTGCTGTCTCCCAACAATAGGCTGGGTTTTCTCTTGCCTTTTCCTACAACTTCTGTAGAGAAAAACAGAAGAGATTGGGATGAATGATACTGATGCCTGGAAATGGGCGTGCCTCTTGTCTTGTATGGACATCACAACAGTGTGAGAGCTGGAGTCGATCTCGCCGGTGGTGAGCTGGGCTTGGGTTGTATGGTGGTGGTAGTAGCCCTCACAGGCAAAATCCCCTCCAGCAGCGGCTGCTGTGACCCTGGGCTTTATTTATGTTGACTCTGGGCTGTCAGATGGTTGTTTTTCTTTAAGAGCTTTACTGAGCTCACCTACCACACAATTGACCCATTTCAATCATTCAATGGTTTTTAATATAGTCACAGATTTGTGCACCCATCACCACAATCAATGTTAGAACATTTTCATCACCCAAAAAGAAACCTTACCACCCTCACCTGCACCTGCCACTCTCCCAACCCTACCCAGCCCCTGACAGCCCCTCCTCTACTTTCTCTCTGCTTTCTGTCCTGCTCCTTTCGTAGAAATGGACTCATACAGCATGCGCCCCCCTGTGCCTGGCATCCTTCACTCGCACTCTGCTGTCCAGGCTCATCCCGTCTAGCATGCGTCAGTGCTTCATTCCCCCTTATTGCAGCACAGTACTGCATTGTGTGGGTGTCTGTGGGGCGAGGGGTTCTCCCCGCTCCTGCTCCATCCTCAGCTCTCCTGTCCCTGCTTGGCTGGCCCCGGAGGAGGCCTCCCTCCATGCTCTGGCTTGGCATTCAGTGTTTTTCTCCTGGTGGAGGCTGGGGAGATGCCAGATTCTCCTGGTCCAGTCCTGCTCCTGGTCAGGCCCCCTGAACCTGGGCCTGAGGCTTTCTCAGTGACCCCGGGGCTCCCTCTAGGCTGTCACACTCCTCTGGTACCTATGGGGAGTGGCCTGGCCTTGCAGGGGAGCTCAGACTGGGAAGTACAGCAGCCGCATCTGCACTCCTGCACCAGGAGGGGTTGCTCTGGTCCTTATCCCACTCTGGTTTCTCTCACCAAAGCCCAGTGGAGGCCCCGGGAAAAGAGCTGCCGAGGGGTGGGCTCCTGTGTCTGGGGCTTCCAGGCCCTCTGAACGGTGGGACGAGCACATGTGCGTTGCTCATGGAGCCTGTTAGCATTTGAGCCACTCTCCTTCCCACTTTAGAAGCCCCTGCTGGGCTTTGCCAAAAGTGGAACAGGTTGCATCTCCTCTCTCTTGGATAGGCCCTGTCCCTCCTTGGAAGTTGGCTGGAATTCTATGTCCACCAGGCCTGTGCCCACTGCTGTCACCCTATCTGTGGCACTCTGGGACAGCTATTTAGGGCAGAGTCTAGCTCTTTGTGTCCCTAGAGCCAAGAACAATGGATGGTATGCAGCTGACACTTAATATATGTGTACTGCATGAAAGAGAACTGATAAATTAGTGATTCTTAAACAGGGGTGCACGGCAAGATTTCCAGGGAGTGAACCCCCCACCACATCATCTCCACCCCATCACATCTCCACCCCACCACAGCTCCACCCCACCACAGCTCCACCCCACCACAGCTCCACCCTACCTCATTTGGAAGCACTGTCAGCCTTTGATTCAAGCCAGGGGGTCCCTGGGTCGGGCTCCCCCAGCGTCCCCCATAGAGTGAGCCTCGTGCAAGGTCAAGGAGGTGTGCCTCTGTGTTGTAGGCCTCCCTCCGGGCGCCCACCCTGGAACTCTCTGAGCCCTGGGCCTGCACCCAGCGATGTGGGCCCCACCGCCTCCCTGCAGCAGGCCTCACCACCAGCACGTGTGCTCCCGCCAGCTCGGGGAGGGTGACCGCTTGGATGTAAAGAGTCAGATGTCCACTGTGTTCAAACAGGGCCCCGTGGTGCAGACAGGAGCTGCTAAAGTAAGGGGACCAGGCTGAGGGCTGGGGCCAGCTCTCCAATGTGGTCCAAATCAGCAGAGAATTCTGAGCGACCCACCAGGAAGTTCTCAGTTCAAACCCGGCCCACTAGAGCGACATAAAAGTACGTGTTTGTCAAAGCATGAAAATAAAACATATTATTAGTAATATTCCATAACGTTAAACCCAGTCACGTGCCACTTGGGCCCCCATCCGCACACTCACCCGGGGCCCTGCAGATGCAGGGAGAGCCTGCCGTCGACAGCCAGCCTCCAGCGAGGGCCATCTTGCCAGATTCACACACCACCCTCAGCGTTGGGTGCTCTGGGATGCCACGTTACAGATGAGGGTCTCAAGGTGCACCGCGGCCAGTCATAGGAACTACTGGCCCGTCATAAAGCACAGGCCTCCAGAGTCAGGCCCACCCCAGCAGCCTGACCTGAGAGCCCTGTACTATGCTGGGTTGCCCCGTCCCGGGCACTCCCTGGGACTCTCTGGAACAGGCTCCTCTCACATCCATTGGGCCTGTGAGCATGGTTCTCTGGTTGATCAAATATATATTTTTTAAATACTCTATGTGAAATATTATTTTTTTTTTTTTTTTTTTTTTTTTGAGACGGAGTCTCGCTCTGTAGCCGGCTGGATGCAGTGCCGATCTCGCTCCTGCAACTCCGCTCCCGGTTCCCCCTCTCGCCTCACCTCCAGTACTGGACTCAGCGCCCCCCCCCGGCTAGTTTTTGTATTTTTAGTAAGACGGGTTTATTTACAGATGTTGATCTCTGATGTGATCCCCCTCGTAAGTGCTGATTACAGCTGAGCCCCGGTTATTTTTTTAAAAAAAAAATTTTGGGCCGGGCGCGGTGGCTCAAGCCTGTAATCCCAGCACTTTGGGAGGCCGAGAAGGGCGGATCACGAGGTCAGGAGATCGAGACCATCCTGGCTAACACGGTGAAACCCCGTCTCTACTAAGAAATACAAAAAACTAGCCGGGCGAGGTGGCGGGCGCCTGTAGTCCCAGCTACTCGGGAGGCTGAGGCCGGAGAATGGCGGGAACCCGGGAGGCGGAGCTTGCAGTGAGCCGAGATCCGGCCACTGCACTCCAGCCTGGGCGACAGAGCGAGACTCCGTCTCAAAAAAAAAAAAAAAAAAAAAAAAAAAAAAATTTTCCAGGCACCGTGGCTCACGCCTGTAATCCCACACTTCGGGAGGCTGAGGCAGGCGGATTACCTGAGGTCAGGAGTTCAAGACCAGCCTGGCCAACATGGTGAAACCCTGCCTCTACTAATAACACAAAAATTACCTGGGTGTGGTGATGTGCGCCTGTGATTCCAGCTATTTGGGAGGCTGAGGCAAGAGAATCACTTGAACCCAGGAGGCGAGGTTTCAGTGAGCCAAGATGGCACCACTGCACTCCAGCCTGAGTGACAGAATGAAACTGTCTCAAAAAAAAAAACTAATATGAACTGCTTCATGAATTTGCATGTCATCTTTGTGCAATGTCACAGTAATCTTCTCTGTATCATTCCAATTCCAGTATACATGCTGCCAAAGCAAGTACGAAATATTATTTTTCAAAAGAATTAGAACCCAAGAGAATACGTTAACTCGACTGCGCAAACACAGTCTAGCGTTTAGCAGGTCCCCAGACCGCCTTTATAAACTTCGACGCCCCCATTTGTAACCAAGACCACTCAGGCTGACTGACCTCAGAATACTATGGGTCAGGGTTACATTCATTCACCCACTGATACTGGCCCCGGTGCCCACTCACCAGATCAGGAGGACCGTGGCTGCCCTTCCCAGAACCTACAGAGAGTAAATTCTGACAACACTTCGCTGAAGGTGCCAGATAGCAGGACAGCTCACTCCTAGCCTAACTCAGAACTGATGCCTGCTCGCCTGGCTTGCCACTGGGAGCCGCAGGTTCCTTTCCTCAGCGAGGCAGTGGGGAGGAGCAAGTGTGTTTCTGTCCTTGAAGTCCACGTGGCAACACCCAGGGCCCAGAGAGAGGTCAACACTGGGGCACCCCAGCCTTCCCAGCCTCCCCATGGCACCCTCCCACTCTCCACTTCTTGTCCCTGCCTCTGCCTCTCCCTGCACAGTTGGCAGGTGGAATGCCCACTTCTTTCTGGAGAAGCTCCATCCTTTATCCACCAAGAAGAACGTCACACAAAAACGCCAGGGTCTGATGTCATTCATTTTTCCAGATTTGGGGGTTTAGTTGAAAATGACACCACCCATGGCCATTACCAGCCCAGTTCAAGAGCCAGATCGGCCCCTCCGGGTCCCCTTCCCCGGGGACTTCTCAGCATTTGGAGAGGATGAGACCCTCCTGTCTTCATCCTCAGTGCAGCTCAGAAAAGGGCGGGAGAGGAAGAGACACCCATCAGCCATCTCCCACGGTCCAGGTGTGTGTAAACACCAGCACTCAAACCTGGGCGGTGAGCCTGGAATCCTTACTACACATGCATGAAACAGAAGCAGGTGTTCTGAGAAACAAGACTGTGATCAAAGGCATGGAAGAGACAGCAAGAGGAGGAGGAAAGCGGGCAGACAGGAGTGCATGGGTAATGTGGCTCACCCAGAGCACCAAGTCATGAATGCCATCACTGCCTTTGACTCAGGCGAGGAGCCCTGTCCTTGGCCTGCCCCCTCCTTACGGGGCCACTGGGATGTGCTCACAGCTCCTAGATGGCACCTCAGCCCCCAGACCTCAGGAGTCCCTGCCCAGACCTCCCCAAACCTACTCCTACGGCCCCTTCCTCCTGCAGGGTGGCCTGGGATGGCTGTGAGTGGGTGAGGACTGAAGTGTCCACAGGCATGTACCAGGAGACCCATCTCTGTGTGGGACAGAATTGGAGGTGGGGAGAAAGGCGGGTGTTGAAAGTGAGGACTGCAGGCTGAGACCAGCCGCCCCACTTCCATGTCCTGATGCAAATCAACGAGGAGGCCAAGAATTCTTTTTTTTTTTTTTTTTTTTGAGACAGAGTCTCGCTCTGTCGCCCAGCCCAGGCTGGAGTGCAGTGGCGCGATCTCGGCTCACTGCAAGCTCCGCCTCCCGGGTTCACGCCATTCTCCTGCCTCAGCCTCCCGAGTAGCTGGGACTACAGGCGCCCACAACCGCGCCCGGCTAATTTTTTGTAATTTTTAGTAGAGACGGGGTTTCACCGTGGTCTCGATCTCCTGACCTTGTGATCCGCCCGCCTCGGCCTCCCAAAGTGCTGGGATTACAGGCGTGAGCCACCGCGCCCGGCCAAAGAATTCTGATTTCTTTCTTTTTTTAATTTTCTCTCTTTTTTTTTTTAAATTGAGACAGGGTCTCACGCTGTCATCCTGGCTCGAATGCAGTGGCATGATCACAGCTCACTGCAACCTCCGCCTCCCAGGTTCAAGCAATCAATCGTCCCACCTCAGACTCTGGAGCAAGCTGGGTACAGGCATGTACCACCATGCCTGGCTAATTTTTTAACTTTTTGTAGAGACAGGGGTCTCACTATATTGCTCAGGTTGGTCTCGAGGTCCTGGGCTCATGCAATCCTCCCATGTCAGCTTTGGGAAGTAACAGGATTACAGGTGTGAACCACTGTGCCCGGCCTAGCCTGAGAATTCCAAACTGGAACCCAGCTTTCCAGATACCACGGTGTACTTTTTAAGGTAGGAGAAGAGAATGTATCCTCTATGACTTTTGCGGCTTGTGTGCATTTGGCCACACCGCGTCACAAACAGCCTCGCCCAGGGGCAGTGAGGGTAGGGGACCAGAGCCTGGAGAGCCCCAGGCCAGGCGGACAGGTCAGGGCTTCACCTGCTGGCTCGCAGAAGGGGGTGGCCAACAGACACCAGGGAAGTCAGGGCTGGGATTCAAAGACAGGCCAAGGCTGCAGAGAGACCTGGAGCCATTTTAGGAAAGAAACGTGAATTCAGGCTTTGCACAGCAGAACTGTCCCCATGTCCTTCCTGGGGAGGCCTTGGTTCATTCTGCGGGGAATCCCTTGTGTCTTCCCTCTGATGGGAGGGAAGGGAGACAAGCTTTGCAGGGGGAAGGTTTCCTCCCGGTCTCCTCATCCTCCAGCACCGCGTTGCTCCAGACAAAGCGCACTCCGCAGGTACCAACCCCTGCAGACAGCGCAGAGCGCAGAGCGCAGAGCGAGCAGGAGCCCAGAAACCAGCAGGTCGTCTTGTCCCTTGTCAAATCCAAGTGACAACGGACTTCCTGAGGCCACGCTAACTAGACCTACTTTCTGGCTCGATCAGACCCCTGGACTTAAATTCCACCCAAGGACTAACACTGAAAGGGTGCCTATTTCAGCAAACGACCAAAGCTTCTAAAGTAGGCTCTTTTAAACCACTTGATGGCTGGATTTCTTAGAGAGAGACTAAAGCTGGAGGAAGGGTTCCTCCAGGGATGCACAGGCCCTCCGCTCCCCACACTAGACTTCGGGCCGGCCAGATGGGTTAAGATAGCCTCGTTGGAGTCAATAATTAAGCAATGGAAACAAACAGCCTAAATAAGGGTGTTGAGGACTCAGGAGAAGGTGGCTGGGTAATCTCAGGCTCAAAGTTTGAAATGGGAGCGCAGGAGCTGGGCTGTGGCCGCCTCCTCTGCTACCTGGGCGTGTGGCTGTGTAAAGAGGTGTGGGGACCCGAAAAAAGGCCGAGGAGCTGCACTGGGGTGGAGACAACAGTGGGGAGGCGGGGACCCAAGGCTTAAAAAAAATTCCTTAATTTGGAAACATTTGCAAAACTCCAAAAGAAAAACTTTTAAAGTTCTCCACTCCCTTCCAAACACGCAAACATGTACACAAACAATTAGGATTTTCCCAAAGTTTTCATCTAAAAAGAAAGTGCCAGTGCAAATTACAGAACATCGTCGCTTCCTCCTGTGCGGCGTTTCCAAGGGCCTGGGAGGGGACGCAGAGGCTCCCCTGGAGGTCCCAGTCTGAAGCGTTCAAGTGAGGAAACTCCCGCAAAAGCCCTGATGCATGCACACCGACCGCAGACGCCGGAGCATCCCGCATTTTGGAGGCTGAAAGGCTCTCGGCGGTCCCCTACGGTAACATTAACAGAGGAGTCCGCTGAAGTGCATTGTCAACTAGAAACAGCTAGAATTAAAATCCAAGTCACCCGGCCCGCATCCGCGGTCATTAAAATCCAAGTCACCCGGCCCGCATCCGCGGTCATTCCTTTCCACCACGCAAAACTGGCCGGGAAGACGGACTCGCGCGCGCCCTCCCAGGCCGAAGCGCATTTCTTCGCTAACGCGTGAGGGGTCGGCTGCGTAGACCCGGCGCAGGGGGTGTTCATTTTCGGATCCAGCTCTATAGTCACCTGAGCTAAACCCCGTTCCAAAGGGGTGGGGGTCGTCGGAGCGGAAGGGCCCCTGTATCTCCGGAGACGGAAACAGCAGGACGGGGAGGCCCTAAAAACGTGCGGCCGGGGGCGCAGGGATCAGAGACCCCGAAAAGCTCCACCGCCGCGCCCCAGGGCCGTCTCCCCGCTGGGCTGGGCTCGCCGCGGGCGGCTGCAGGACTCCGGGCGCAGCGCTGGGACCCCGCGGGCCACGTCGGCTCCGCCGCCCCGACGCCCCGGCCCGA